AAATTTTTTAATTAGTATATTTGATGATTTGTAATTAAACTTAAAAGAATAATATTTTTCTTCAAAATTATTTTCAAAAATTAATTAACAGTTACAATTAATGAAAGTAATTTAAGTAATAAACTTTATATTTTTATTAATTTTCAAGTATAAAATAGGTAAATATTTCGGAAATATAACAATTTTGAATTTTTGATAGAATTAGTATAGTACTTATATTTAATAAGGGAAATAATCTTAATTAGACATTATATTAATTAACTAAATAACATAAAATCAACAGATATAATTTGATTATATAAAATAAAAAAAGATATTATCAAATTTAAAATAATTTGTATTATAATATATTTAGTTATCTATTTTTACTTATACATCAAATAATACAACCAAAAATTTTAGTTAAATAAAATATATGATAAAATTATAAAAGTAATTAAATTACTTATGTAAATTAATGATTTATATATTATATTTATTTTTAACTTATTGTAAATACACATGCTATATCAATTATTTATATTTTTACATGACTACAACTTGTACTTTAATTTTTACTAAGTTCGATGTTGCTATCACATGTATATCTTTTCTGTCTCTAATATGAAAAACTATAGTGATAATAAAGTAAATGAATACAATGAAAGTGTACATTTTGTTATAAAAATTGTTATAAAAATGTAATGCATTAAAATTTTTAAAAACAATTCTTGTATTCATCATTTAAGGTTAAAGAATAAGACAATTTAAAAAGTGATACAGTAGTTCTTACAACAATTTCCTTATTTACAATTTATTTCTTATAATTTTTCAGATGCAACCAATTGCTCTTCTTTGATTAATATCTCCAGACTCTGGAAAAAATTAATGAATTTACATGAATATTATGGACATATGATAGTATTTTATATTATAGAAAAATATATAAATAAGTAAATAATATAATATGTGGACAAATGATAAAATGTATGAAATATGCAGGTAAGTAATTAAAATAATGTATAAACTTACCTCTTTTAATATGTAATTAGTAAAGTATCAATGGACAATGAAATAATAATCAAAATAAATATGCATGGCATATATCTACAAATGATTATGGTAACATATAATGATAATATACAATTATCATAGTATATATGTAATATAGTATATGTAATGTAGTAAAAAATTGTTAAAATATATTAGAACCTCAAATAAAAATGATTACATGTAAGTTATAATTTATTTATTATATATTTATTCTTAAATATAATGTACATAATAGTAAATATTACTATTTTGTATATATTAATTAATAAGATTTTTTGATAATAATATTTGAGATTAAATTTCAAAAATTGTTTTCAATTACTATTGATATTACTTATGTTTTATTTTTTGACTACTTAAAATTGATTGATTATTTTTCATATATATAGATGAAAATAATAACATAATGTTATTATGATTTGATTAGAATCTGATGTAATAATAATTTACTAATTGAATTTATAAAATGTTAATACATCATTTTTAAATACAATAGAAGCAATGAAAGAAATTCAACTTAAATATTGTAGATATGCAACATATATAAACTAAATAAAATAGAATTTTAAACGTTTATTTTCTTTTATAGGATATCCTTAATAATATGAATTTTTCTTTAACTGCTGATTTTTACTTATTAACGTTTTTATATACAAAAATTGTTTTAAGTGTTATTTTAATTGTACTATTTTTATTAGTGATGTGACATTCGAAACTCTTTAACCGTTTGAGTCTCAAGCAGCGCGATCGCATTGTTCAGATTTTATGTCGAGAAAACCCAGCACATTTCGAGCGTTGCGAACAACTGACGGTGCGTCACCAACTGTCGAAGTCGCGCGCTCAGATTTACTGACGCAAGTACACCACACAGCTCCTTCTTTTAATGTAAATATTATATTTTACAATAGGTACAATACTATAATAATAGTGCAATAATATATTACAAAATAAAACATTTTGTATTTCATTGTTATCTTCCCAATAATTTTTGTCGAACAAAACTTGAGATATTTATAAACTTACAGTACGCATATGTAATAATACAGATGTATTTCATAAAATAACGAATTACAAATTAAAAATATTTTTGTCTTATGAACAAACAATTTAAACGGAGAGTAACACCTATAATTTGTAACATCGGTGTTTATCAAAACATATTGGATGAATTTCTTTTTTACATCGCACACAAATTAAATGTGATCTTTTTATTGCATTTTTGGTACTGCATAAAGTACACGAAGCGCTATCACGCCGCTTGGGATTTCTCGATATAAAATAAAAGAAGCGCTATTGCGCTGCTTGGGTCATCTCGTACTCACTTAGAGAAAGCGCGGTCGCGTTATTCGGGATACTTCGACAATGTTTTTTCAAAACCCTCTGGGACTCAAACGGTTAAAACTAGAAGCTTTTTGTTATTTTCATGATACAAAACTTTCGAAATCTAAGTAAATAACGATTTACGTAAATTTTATTTTTTATCTCTACCTCCTTATTCCTAATAAATCTTGACTAGATCCAGAAAGAGTTTGGATGCTAGTATTTTTAAATAAGCATCTTGAATAGATATTTTTGTAAATAAATATTAACATTTAATTTTTTCTTTTTATTATTTTCTAAAAGTGTTGAAATGAAATTTTTTCGTTTATTTAAATTATATTTAATTCCAATACATTTAAGTTTCATTTAATTACATAATTATATTTAATAAATGGAATATTTCTCTAAAAAAATTTATGGTGACTTTAATTCTTGATAAAATGAATAGTTCTTAGAAACATAAGGAAAAAGTTAATATTTAGAGTTTCGAAATCTTCAATTTCATAGTTTTCATAGTTTTGAATTCAAGTGTCATGAATCTAGCAATTTTGTTTTAACTCACTTCTAATTTTTATGTTTAAAATTATTTAATCAATTAATTAAAATTAAGAAACATAATTCGCACACAAAATAAAAACGTAAAATACAAGTTCAATATAAAATAATATATTTAATGACTGCTTTATTAAACAAGAAATATAAGTTCCTTCTTATATTTGAAATTATTGAATTAGAATTAGTTGAGTTAGACTTACGAGACTGTAATCAGTAATTATTGTTAAAATGTAGGTGAATTCAAGTTAGGGCTGCCGGGTGTTGAAGTAGGGGTTGATGGAGTACCTGGAGGTGAAGTATCCAGAGGACAAACCAAATTACCATAATCTGCTTCATTCTTGCTTTTCTTACGTTTTAAAGTAAACTGAGATTTCTTCGGTACCTAAATCAATTTGATTCCAATTTAATCATGACATTTAAATATGATATATCATATTAATTATATTAATTAATTAAGTACCATTTAGTTGAATAATATAAAATAATAATTTTTTATTAACTATTACTTTATTTTGCTTAGATTTATTATTTAAAGTATTTACGGATATATTTCTTTCTCAAGATTCAATTTTTATTTATTTTCATATTTATAACGAACTTTTCTATTAACGATTTCTATAACAAACAATTCTATTCCTTTGATATATTTCCTCTTTAAGTTCCTGGATTCAATATACAGTCTTATTTAAGTATATATGGTGGAATATGTTATAATGGGACGCAATGACATTTAATTTATAGCAACAGGATGAAGTTGGATTAAAAAAGAGTATGTTATACTAAAAGTATGCTCATCAATTAACACATCAATCACACATAAATATAGGAGTATTTAATGTGTGGCTTATATATAGTTATATCTTTGGAATTAATAAATTTCACAATAGTCATACAACACCAAATTAATAATGGAATTATAAAAAATATATAATCAACTACTATAAAAGACAAATGCTAATTTTATGATGAACAGTTTGAAACAGTAGACTATACTACAATTGGCCATAAAGAACTTACTCATTTTTCAGAAATATTTATGACAATGTACAAAGAATCATTATTAATAAATTGCCTCAAAATACTTATTGATCCCTGCACATGGTATGGATCCTACATATGGAATCTAAACATATTATAGAAAATATATAAAGAAAGTCTTAGTGGAAGAAATTAATAAACCAGATATTGTGCTCAAATGACCAACTAAAATAACATATCGTATTAAAACAGTAATACTCCAAATGTATAAAAGAAACAAACAAAATAATAGTATTTGTTGAAGGAAAGTTAAATGTAATATTTAATAGATCTAATAAATAAAATTGCAATAAAATCTAATATTTTAGATGCATATAATTTGTAGAGTCATGAGTAACCAGGCTTCTATGAATTGTCATTCATCGTCATCATTTGACAATTAACTCATTTATTAAAAAATAATTGAATATACCTTCAAACGAGCAGTAAGCGTAAGTGGAACAAATCCAAGGGTGCTTTCAATTTCTCTTTTTCTTTGTACAACTTCCCTCCCAAGGATTTGATTGAAATGTGTAGTTAAATGTCTACGAAGAAGTGTTTTCCCTGGAGAGATACTAAGTAATGTTGCCAATAATTCTGATGTAAATCTGCCTTCATACATCATTAAACCTCCATGTACGCCAGATCCTCTCATATTTGGAGCATATTCAGCTAAATCAACTACTCTAAGCCATTCCATTACTCGATGATTTGTCCAAAGGTGAACATTACCACCCTCTGCCCCATTTCCATTTATAGATCTTCTTTCAAGGTTATCAAATTCAAAATTTAGTTCTCGAAGAATCTACAAAATTAAATATACTTTTACAATATGTACAAAACTTGTATTAGTATATTATATCTCAGTTTATTGAAGTGATTAATTTCCTATACTTATATCATTACTTATAACATATTACCTGAATTCCTCGTCTAAGACTTGCAGCATGTAATTGTGCAGTAACTCCAAGATTTAAAAGATCTTCAGTAGTGAGACGGTGTAACATTCTACCATCAACTTTACCATTTTGGAAAGCTTCTTTGTGCTGTGGTAATCCAATATCATCCAGCCATCGTAAAACTGCTGCATTATCCATCTATAATTTCATAAATATTTGTGACTATATATCTTCTTAGGAAATTATATTAAAAATTACATACCTTATCTGATCCAAGAAATTCAGCTCCACCATATTTCTCTGATTCTATTGCATACAATAATTTTTTCCTATGAAGAACATTTTTAATTTCTAATTCCTTTTCCATTTGTTGTTGTGAACATTCTAATAATTTTGCTCCAGTAGCTCCCCATCGTCTCAATTCACCCGAGTAACATTCTAATCCTAAATTTGTGAGCCAATCTCCAATTTCTTCCATTGACAGCTCTATTAAAGATTTCTGACTGATTGATTGTATCGATCGAGAGTTTGAATCTTCTATAATAATTTTTTCCTCTTCAGCTAAAATATTAAATAATATTGTAATAATATTATTATAATTAATATAATATTATTATATATATTATATAATATCATTATAATATCATTATATAATAATATTAAATAATATTAAATCAAATAATATTAAACTAAATTCAGTATAACTAAAATCTTATATTATACATAAGAATATAATAAATGTACCAGTGTTTAAAACAATAGAATCTTGAATACATGGTATTATTATATTATACAATATGATTATATATGAATTATATTATAGATTAGAATAAACAAAATCAACATTTTCATGCAAAAGTCAACACAAAATTTAAATTTTAGAGAAACAAATTTAATTAATGTTAACATAAATTAAATTTTAAATCATTAGCCACGACTGCCTGTCATATAAAAAGAACAATTATTTTCTTAAAAAGACATTTAAAGATGCATGCTTAAAGAAAGAATCAATCGCAACCTAGAGTAGGCGCAGACAGGCATCTCGCGGAGGCTCCTTTAATGGCCAATGGTACTGTCGTGTGTACTCCAGAAGCTAAACTGGGTACCTTACCAAACATTACACCTTTCTTTGAAGAACTCGGTGGCCTAGGAAGACTACTATATTGACTGGTATGCCTTCCAAATTTCTCTCCCTGTAATAAATTAGTAATAATTATGTATTTATGTTTTTCACAAATTTAGTATGATTATGTATATACTTCTGCAAAACAGTATATAATTTTATAATAATTATGTCAACTTACGTTTGACATAGGACTTGTACCACGAAGTGCAAGATTTTCATGTTCTAAACTTGCTTGTCTAAGTTTCATTTCTGATAAAGAACTCAAAAGTTCTAATTTTTGTGTTTCCAAAGCACTTCTTGAAAGTACTTCCTTTAAAAATTAAAACAATTGAAATAAAATGAAAGTAGAAAAATAAAAAAAAGTAGAAATAAAAATGGAATAGAGTAAACCAGAAATGGAGTCAAAACATAATGTAAATTATGTTGTAAACTACCAACAACAGAATTAATCAAAATTATTACATAAAATGAAATATTGAAATTACTTTTTGCAATGCCTCTTCCATCCTTCGGAGGGAATCTTTCTTCTCTCTAAGCATACTTTCTAATTCTTGAATTTTATTAGCTTGTGCATCCACTTGTTCTGATAAAACAGATATTTCCATATGTAGAGCTTCACGTTCATTTTCTAATTTATTTAAACGTTCCTGTAATATTATTTAATATTTTACATAAAATACAATTTGTTAGTTATAATTATATTAATAATCAATAGGACTATGGTTTAATATTTAACAAAAATTCATCAGTTAGAATATTACAATATTTAATTAAATAATATAATTTAAAATTATATTACCAACATAAAAGAAAAGATTCATAGAAATCTTTCATACTTTATATTATTTGACATTAATAATTTGAATATAGTATCAGCATACATATATATTATGTTAATTTATGTAACAAAATATTAAACATTAATAATCAGAATATTAGTTTTATATATTCATTTCAAGTTCCATAGTGTTTATAAATTAATATAGCTTAACTCTCAAATTTGAAAAAACAAGTTTTTAGAATATATATTGTTTTTATTTTAATATATTTAAATTAATTATTATTATGTTAATCATTTAGATCATATAAATTATATCACACATTATTTTAGTTATCAACACACTAATATCTTTTATTATAAGTATCATTATACCTCAAACTTTGCCTGACACTTATTCCATTTTTGAGTGTCTTGAAAATGTTGCAAAGAGCAACAATAGGGAGATTCTCTTGTTCTCAAAAAATTATCTGATTGTGATCTAGTTCTTTGTTCACGTTCTATTTTATTCTTCAGTCGTTGTCTTTTCCCTAATTCTAAATATTGATTGCTTTTATTTCTTGTACTCTCTTTATTTTCATGAACATGATGGGCTTTTGAAATATGGCTGTTTAATCAAGTTATGAAATCAGTAATTTAAGTTTAAAAATAACAACAAAGAAATAAAAACACAAAGACCTCATATCATATACTGCACAACAAGTAGGTGGTAGAATTCCAATATGTGTTAAATTTGTGGATGCATAGAGATTAGGGACACTTCCCTTCAGAGAAATCATTTTAGTGTAATCTAATGGACAACTCTAAGAAAACAAAATGATTCTCCTAAATATTTTCATTTTTTTTATATTTTTGTTCTACATATTAATCACACAAATTAGAAAATTATCAATTCTAAAAATTAAAATCATAAAATTGTATCTTTAATAGAAATTTATTTGATAACATTTCAATACAATTTGAAATGAATTTTGTTTCAACAAATTTCTTTTATAAAAATATATAGATACATATAAATAAAAAACTTACGCATGTATATACTTAAGTACTTACATACTTTCATATTTAATAAAATTACATTTATATTTTTCAAAGATTAATTATTTAAAAAAAAACCTATATAATTTTAGATTAAGATAAATAAAATACAAGTAAAATAAATTAGAAGTATTTTGATTTTTAGCTTTACATATTTCATTATATATTACCTGGCAAAAGCTATTGTCAGATTCATCTATTTGATGTTCAAAAAAATCAATATTTGCAAGCTCATCCTCCTGTTCAGAATTTGAAGAATCATAGTCTTCTGAGGGAGTCCAACTACTATTTAATTGTTTTGATGTCGACATAGTTTCTACTGAGTTTGAATAGAAATGAATCTATCCCATAAATTTTTTGTGGTATATTTAATGATTACTTTTACTAATCTCAGTTTTTGTGTTCAAAATGTCAAATAAAATATTATTATCTAAAATAAACAACAAAACTGTATTTACACTAGTGTATATAAATTTATATAAAATTTATTTAATTAAACAATGTAAAATGCTACTTAAATAATTATATCTTTAAATAATTAAATACAGTTTATAAATAAGAATTTTCTTAATAATCATTTAATCCTAGTTTCTTTCACTTATTAACAGGACCTTTTCCCTTTTGTTTGTTCTTTTCTTCATTCATCATTTATTTTTATCGTTATTTTTTAAATTAATAATAAATAATTTTCAGTTACATATTTTTCTTTTTTTCATATTACTAATAAAGATATTAATAGCGAATATCAATAATAAACAATTTTGACGAAGCGAATATGGAACGATTTCGTAAGAAACTAAAATTACCATCCTCAAATTCCTCAAGATGTGAGTAGTCACGTGATATAATCTATATATAGATCACTCGACTGTTTTTTTATACTGTTCAATACTAATAAATAAACTTTTTATTTAACAATGTTATTAACATAATATCAATAAAATTTTTTATATTCAAGAATATGGGTTTTTCAGTTAGATTTAAATATATATATTTAAAAAAAGAAAAATTTTAATTTAAAAATTTATATAATTCCTATATTCTTCTTTACATTTAGTTATGTATTTAGAGATATTGAAGAATATTTATATCCATATTATATGGTATATGTAAGTAAATAAAATTGTTTGTATAATTTAATCAAGTATAATTTCCCAACTAAATATGGAACAATAATGAAAATCATGAATTTTATACCATTAGCAATTTAACAAGTAGAAGTTTGTTTAATATACTATATGCAACAATTTTTGTTTGAAAATAGTATACAATATGTAAAAATAATTTGAAATATATTGAAATGTCTTAAAATATGCTAAAAGTTTTTTTTTATATTATTTTATGTAATATAGAATTTGGTTTCTAATCCAATTAATTTATACTTCTATAAAAATAATATAAGTTTGTAATAGATATTTAAATTTACCGGTTGCATCCACTGCATTAAAATTTCAGTGGTGGCTGTATCTGGTGGAGAAGGAGGACTTGGAGAACTTTTAATTATTGTTAAAAGATTTTTTGTGGCTTCTTTAATAGAATCTTTCCATTCTATGTTACTTTCATTGTTAGAGTCTGTGCATACACCTATTAATAAACATTAGAATATTAATAATTGTATACATTTTAACTAGTATATAATATTACTTATCAAATTTTTTTCTTCAATATAATAATATAACAAAACAGAGTTTAATAGTTTAATAAAATAAAAGATTTTAAATTATTTTTAGGATCATCTATGTCGTAATTAAATATTTTAAATGGAACTAATTAATTGTTATGTATTTGTATATTTTTTAAATAACATTAATTTACACTAATAATTATATATAGTTTACCAGAAATAATGTCATCCATTTGTAATAAAGCAGCTTCCAACATCTTACTAGCTTCACTTGATGTTTTTGTAAGAAAAGTTGATTCTCCTGCTTGTATAGTGTTTCCGTTCCTTTCTTCACTTTTACCCATTGCTAATTTCTGTAAATGAATAAAACTATACATTAAAAATATTATAATGTATGCAATAAAATGTTGGCTATATAGAACGATAATTACTTCATAAAAATTATAGATATCCGAAAAATTATGTTAAACTTACATAAAATTGTTGAATACTAAAAATTTATATCTAAATGTATATAACCTAAAAATTCATATTCTAAAATTATTTTTACATTTAAAACATAGTGATTTTTTGAAAACTATTCTATTCAAAAATTCGAACATATAACTTCATTTACAGGCTAATAATAAAAGAAAAAGAAAAAATAACAGTAAGACAGAAAAAGATACAGTAAACTGTCAAACAAGTCAGCACTTCAAAATGGCGTGTTTACTTAAACTATTTACATATTCAAAAATTAAATAAAAAATAATAAAACATTCTTTATTAATTTATATTGTCTTTTTTTGTTGATTTAATAGTGAATTTATATATTCTTTAGTAATAAATAAAATTAGAAATTATTACAGGAACGCCTTTTTTGAAAAAAAACTTACCTCGCTGTATCATGATTTAAATTGGTATCAACAAAAATAATTTAAAATTTATTTAAATACTAAATTAAAAATTGATTCAAGTTAAGAAGCACAGAAAAAGCAACAGGTGTTAAGAACAACGCCTAATAGTTTATGACCATAGTAGTATTTGACTTCTTTTTGTGTTTCACCCGCCCTCCAGCCATAGAATTAGCAAACTAGTTTTAAATGGTAGAAATTGAGTCACGAATAATATAATATTAATATCAAATTAAATTAACTATCAAACAAATATATTTATTTCAATATTTTAAGAGAATGTCAAAGTATTTTTATTTTTTTAAATATTTTAATATTGTAAAAGTAATAATTAAATAATTTCAATTTCTATAAATAACAATAACTATTATAAATATTTTTCTATTCACAAAATGAACTATCAAATAAAAGGGAAATATAGATATACGATATATAATACCAATGTGTTTGTAGTCATAGTCATGGAAGATAGAAAATTTTATTTTTTTTTTCACTGTACATTTAATCAAATTGCTAACAACCATAAATTTGAATGAATAAATAGACGAATATACATGCATTTTTTAGGAAACTGTAAATTAACAATCATAGTATAAATATTTTTACAATGTTTTAAATGGATAGGATACTTTTAGGGCAAATATTTATCACATGTTACAAGGTCAGGAAATATACTTTCATATTTGAATACAATTTTAATGTTACATATCTCTCATAAATAGGATCGTAGTACAAAGGTATATACAGTTTAGTACTTTTGATAAAATTTATCTCTCTTGCTATTTTATCTATAAATATTCTACATTCATTGTTATGTATGTTTTGAATTAATAGCTTGGAGCATTTTAAATTATTTGTACAAAAATATATATATATATTTAAACATATTCAAAACAAATTCAAAACAAAAAATGTTTTAAATAATATTCAATAATACACTACGTACACATATGTACATAACTGTTTATAATTAGAAGACAGATTTATTACAAAGAGTCTAATACAAAAAGGTATAAAATAAATAATTATATAAAATTTAATTAAACTACAATTAAAAATTCTATTTAAATTGATGTTATTTAGAAATTTCTTAACATTTATAAAAATTTGTATAAACATGTAAATAATTCAATAGATTTAAATATAATATTTGACTTATATAAAATTCAATTAAACTTAACATAACTAATTAATTAAATTACTAGATAAAATTGAACAAATGAACAACATAATAAAATAGAAAAATGAACAGCTTCATTGTATATTGATTTTTTGTTCCGTAATTCTTAAATTTTGATAATCAATTCTATTAATATAAAATAAAATGTAAAACTTTATAGTTTCTATTCAATTTTTAAATATAAGTTAAAATATTGTTTGAAACACAATGGGAAAATAAATCAAATATTGATATTCTACTTATTATCTTGTCTTAGGTTTTATTATTTCATCAGATATAATAGTACTTAACTCTGACATAAAAGTTAAAACTAAAAATTATCAAATTATTAAACAAAACCAAACGTGACTTCACTCTTTAAATAGTGACAGTAGAAGATGCATATGTTGTTTCGTGTTTATATACTTTAGACTGTAAGAATAAATCAATTTTCAAATCGATAATAGAATGAATAGAATATAATCAATAAGACTTTGTTGCATTTGTATATCTACTCTACATTACCATTTGATGAAAGCATATTGCACATACAGGAGAGGTAGCCGCGAGGCCACATTAGGGTGTGTCGGTGTGTGTGTATGTCGCGTGTGTGTGATCATCTTTTGTTTTCCGGGTATTTTTATGGCGTAGTTTGTCGATTGCTGCTACGAGAGATGAAGGTGCATCTTCTTTATAAGTATTCAACCAACAGGTTATGGGCACAGGTTAACTCTAGTGATTTAAAAACAAAAAAAGAAAGAAAACATTAATAAGAAGGTGGTCAGTGGAAGCAGTGTTCATAATATTGAAAAGCTTACAGACGAAAGTTACGAGGTGCTGAACATGAGGAGCGCCCTTATCTACAAAGATCTGAGGGGGTACGTCAACGAAACGGAGTCGAAGGCCAAACAAAATGACGCAATTTGGGTTAGAAAGGATGAGAAGGCCTTAATTTTTCTAAGTATTACGAAGAATCAGCTAGGCCACGTGAAGCGCGCGGAAACTTCCAGAGAGGCCTGGGAAAGTCTAAACAATATTTACAGATCCAAAAGTCCGGTAAGGAAAGTAACACTTTATAAACAATTATACTGTACGCGAAAGGAGTCTAATGTATTCATGATGCAGCACTCATAAGGAGAGTATAAGACCTAGAGGTCACCGATTTAGTTCAAATTTTGCAGGATGGTAAATTTAGTTCCCCTGATGGTGAAGGTATATGATTATAGGGGTCACTACTCAATAATTTTTAAGATATTTGCAATTAAAGATTTATCATTGGTTTAATTCAGTGCTGTTCAGAATGATTACCATGTAATAGTTTAGTGTAGTGGCAATGGATTAGTATTCCTATGCGTTAGGATTCAATGCCCGGGAAGATGAGAATATATATTTTTTCTTTTCAATTCTTTTTTACTTTGTATGAATTTCTTCCATATTGAGATACATAATGGAGTTTAAATAAATTGGAAAGAAATGTCTTTATTTACTAGATATCTTACAAAAAGTTTGTTTGCTATTATCATTCATATAAGTATAGAAAAACATTTATTATAAAATAATAAAAACATTTATGCAAGAGAAACAGAAGAAAAGCCCCTTAACTTTCAGTTGATCATACCTGTAAATAATAAATTGTGGAAGGAAACAATAAATAAAACATTTGTCAGATTAACAGAATAAGAATAAAAATAAGATTAGATACTTGTCCTTCAATGTCCATACAATGGTGGATAATTTATATTTTTATGTTCTTTTATCGCAAACAAAACTTCTGTAAGTTTCTTAGTAAATAAAGACATATAATTTCCAATTTATTTAAACTTCAGTATGTATCTTTATATGTAAAAAATTAATACAAAATAAAAAAGAAATGAAAGAAAAAGAGAAAAGATTATTCATCCTCTATGGATTTGAGCCTTGATCCTAACACATATCAACACTAGTCCGTTGACACTCTATTCAATCATTACATTGTAATAATTCAGAACAGAACTGAATTAAACAGTGAATTAAATGATGAATCTTCAGTTGCAAATATCTTAAAAATGATTGAGTAGTGATTCTTATAATTATATACCTTCACCACCAGGGGAACTAAATTTACCATCCTGCAAAATTTAAACTAAATCGGTGACCCCAAGGCCTTGCACTCTTCTTGTTAGTTAATTTTTAAAATAAAATTGAACAGCTTCAAGAAACTTACGTTACCGACCGATTTGCAGTCGTTAATGCTGCTAGGCACCTTACCGACTGAGTTCGAAAGTTTTTGCATATCGATCGAATCAAATAACGACATTTCGACAATAGAAAATCCGAAGATCAAAAGGAAAGAACGAAATGCTAGAAACACGGCATCAAATGAAGTAGAAACGAGGTCATATTCACTTGAAATACTAACATATTAGACAAATATAGGGGGATGAACGCAAAAGGGGAAAGCAATTGATTTAACATATAGATATCGATTATAAAATGTTACAGTTGCAATAAACCTGGTCACAAGGCAAAAGATCGCAGGTCCTCGAGAAGCAGGAGGTGCAAAATGAACAAGAGGGAGGATGCAATGTCCGCCGTCGTCCTGAACACAGATGTGAACAAACATGATTCTTGGTGTTTGGACAATAGGGCTACGAAACACATGTGCAACAACAACTCAATAAGTTCATATCACTCAATAAAAATAAACGCAATGACATTTACATCGCTGCCGAGCAACACGTGAAATCGGCAGGACTCGGTGAAGTAAAAATCCAGTTTATGCAACAAATCCACGAATAACATAAAACTACAAAATGCCATGTTTCTGCCGAATTTGCGAATGAATGTAGCCTCGGTTTTGAATATGGTTACACGATAAAGGTTACACGATTACGTTTAATAAAGACGTAAAGAAAAATGTCTGTCAAACACAAAGATGGCTCTACAGTATTGGTAGCTCATAGAGAAAGACAGTTGCATGTAATCACAGAAGCAGATCAAGAAGCCATAATGACACGGAAAGATGAAAGCGACTAATCTGAAAAATTTGTAGTGCCGAGCCACGAGAACAAAATATGCAGACTCAATAAACTGCTGTACAGTTTGAAGGTACTCAAAGTACCTTGAAGGCTTGTCAGGCCGAGAATGGTATAGTAAGATTAACAGTTTTCTCTTAGACATAGGTTTTAGTTGGAGCAGCGTGAACTCGTGTGTATATATAGTGACTAACGAAAGTATTCGAATGGTTAGGTTTCTTACTTTTAGTACATAAAATATATATGTTAATCCTGAATATTTAAAACAATTCAGTATGTATAACAAGAAGGAAATCCCAAGATTATGTTAGTAAAATTAGAAAGTAATCCAATCGCATGTATAGTGTTTATGATAGATTATCTTGAAATACACAACAAGCAAGGTAAACAAAAGTATTCAAACGCTTCAAAGTTATTTGTGTTTCGGTTTGAATCTTAATGCTGAATGTAAATATTAGCATCAAATGTAAACAAAGAAATATGTAGTTAATCACAAGACATCGCTTGAGTAAGAGTAACGTATAATTGTTTAGTATAATAACGAATATGAATAGGAAAGAGTTAGAAATACAAAACTGTGTACAAGAAATGATATTAAAATGAAATTGCGAAAATTGTAAACAGAAGTAAATCTACAGTGCATTACATAATGTTGGTAGTAATGTCTCGATTGGTATGAATGATGAGTGAATGTGAAAGAATCGGCAACAGTGGAAGAATGAATGAGTAGTGTTTATAAGGTGTGCTGTAAGCGTGGTGTAATTTAGTAAATATTTTCGCCATTACTGCTCAGTACAATCAAACGAGAACGTTTTTTTTTTGGCTGAACGATTTCACATTCACTTTCAAGACTTTTTTCTTCATTTAGACTTTTTGCACCTTCTATCCTTCTATCTTGTTTAAAAAATCACAAGGTCATTGTAGATATCACGGTATGGAGATAGACAATTTTGCAGTTCCCTTTTGAATTTTCGGTTTCTTTCAGCGGAAAGGTCTGCATTCAAGAAAAAAATGATTCACAACTTTCAGCTAAGTTTAGACCTTGTAATTTTTAAAAATTAGTGTTAAATTATTAATTTTTTTTACAGCTTCGGATGCCATTTCCATCAAATTCTCTTCGTCAACGTCTTTTTCCACTAAAATCTTGAACGTCCTCAATAGCCATATGCACAAAACCTTTGCCTCCGTTTGATTTAGTAAGTTCTAATATGCCATTAATTTCATTTTCTTACGATTTAAGTACGTTTTCTATTTCAACTGAAGATGGTCATATATTTTTCCAACATGCATTTAACGTTGATATTTCTAGATTTCTTTAGTGACAAAAAGATATGATGTTGATGCAGTGCTTAATTAAAAATTGCTTTCAAGCTTCCATTACATTAATTGATTTTGGATTGGTTACGTCTAAAATAAAATGGTTCAAGCAACGAAGTAGTATTATGTGGTAGGAATACCATTTTAACGTTGAAATGTCTCAACTCTTGTGGGTGACATGGAGCGTTATCTAATAGTAATAGCGCCTTGAAATAAAGTTTCAAAGTAGGATCGTAGGGGTATATCACAATAGCAACGCGTTTACGTGGGACACATCTACGAGCCCTCGGCCCTATCAGTTATTTTTGTCGAACGCATATATGAGTTCCTCGGCCAAATAGAAGGTTTCCGCTGAACGCATATATGCAGCGCTCGTTCGCAAAGGGTTAAAAATAAAAAAGTCATTATTAATAACACATTATGGCTGGAGGCAGACTGCCGATCAGCCGCTTGAGGAGTTATTTTTGTCGCTAGGCCATAGAGATAAAAAGAAACAAAAAAGAGCTTTCCGTCCGCGGCCCCCCGGTAGCGATCGCAGTTTAGTTCATCCTTCTAGATACTGCGGCACTTTCCGCAATACTGTGTCTCTAAGTAGGCAAGCCTTGCCGCGGATGGGGTGTAAATTCTGCATAACGCTTTCCGCTTTGACATCGGAATAGAGTTCTAAATGAATAAATTATAATTTGTTTGTACATTTTCATGTAAAGCCACTGTAGTTCATTATTCCTTACCGTTATTATTTTAAGATAATTCAGTTTTTAAATGTGTTAAACAAAAATCATGTTAGCTAGTACAGTAGAAGTACAGTGTTGTACATAGGTTTTCGTAACTTTTTTATCGTGTTAGATCGAAACCGTGTTGTAAGATGCCGTGCTGTAGGAGGGCTACATTTATATGTATTAGTTGCTTTATATCGCAACAAAATTTTCCTTATCATTTTAGTGTCATTTCTAATATTATTGATAAAGCATAGGATGAAATTACAACGTTAACCCTTTCGTTACGGGCGGACTCTCCGCTGTGGTACTCCTACAGAACGAGCCGCCGCGACGAAACTGTGCACGGTACGCGAGACCGATCGTCAGAGGCATTTGGTTTGCTGAGTATTGAGGTCCGTAATAAACAAATAATGCAAAACAAAATACTCACGCTGCATGTCTATAGTGAGATAGTTGATGTGTAATAACTGCAGATGCTCGTCGTATGTACAAACGATATTTTATGGAGAGTGATTATAGTCGCTCGTAGTACCTCAGTGGCAACTGATGGAGAGCGACTATAGTCGCCCGTAGTACCTCAATGGCATCTTATGGAGAGCGACTATAGTCGCCCGTAGTAGTGAAAGGGTTAATAATGAAATTAAAATTAGGTTTAATTTTAAAATTATAGATAAGTATACGTCAAAATATATTATAATTGCAAACAAAATAGAAAATTCTACACATTTGTAGTATTTATACATTTTTATACAAATAATTATTAGATAATTGTAAAAACGGTTTTTGAGTAGAAAATGTTATGATTTTAATTTCGATAAAGCTACGGTTTAATGCTTTTGTCTTTAATATAGATGTAAATATGAAGTATGAAATATAGAAGTACTATCCTTTTTCTACTTTTTTGCAAACGGCAAAATTTGGAAAAGAATACAGAATACAAAATTCAGAATAACTTTTATTTAAATAATAATTGCCAATTGGCCTTCGTTCTCGAGATATTTGAAAAAATTGTCGATACAATTACATTGAACTGTGCTTGTACGTATGTTGATGTAATAAAATATCTGGGCCGTCTATTTATAAAAATTCATATATAGGTTAACCGTTGAGTACTGTCTCCTTGTCCAAAAGTGCCAAGTAACGCTTTTGCGCTTGTTTTATTCCCCGATCAAAAATGCCAAGGAGCGCCATTGCGCAGTTTTCTGTTCATATGCGATAAGTTGTAATTCTTTCAATTCAGTGTTGTTCTGACACCCTTGTGAGCATAAGTAGTCACATCCGTTGTTTATAAAAATAAAAAGATGTACACCTACAAAGTGTAACATTACTGTAATTTTATTTTAATTTACTTAAAACGGAACGGTAGCCGTAAAGTCACGTATTAACAGAAACCGAGCATGTCGCGAAACAGAAGAAGCGTAAAATCGCCACTTGTCATTTAAACGTTTAAAATTGCAGGAGACTGTTACATGGTTATCACTTAAAATATATGCGCATATATCAACAATTATGTAAACTTCTATATAAATGAAGTTTGATGTCTGTCATTTTTAATCGTTTCTTTATAAGCTTTTTCGAAGTTTAAATTTGTAACTTGTGACCTAAAATCCTGCCTATATGAGTTAAGAAATGCTTGTGATATGCATAAATAACTGAAACATAGATGCTTATACGCATGAAAATATATTACTGTAAGAGGAGGAGAAGAAAAGGCTGGGTTAAAATGAGTCTATCACTCGGTGGCCGATTATACTTTATTCCATTCAATACAATATTTACATGCCACTCTTGTCTCTCACGTAAAACTCCGTCCGCCCCTCGAGCTGTCCTTTTAACGGTGGACCTTCTTTGTTAATCCACCGCGAAAATCAAGCGAATCGTCGCTTCGTTTTGAGACTCCGGTTATTACTGCTACGTGCCCGTCACTCACGCCGCCTTATCGGTGACCGAAGCTCGCATACTCTTATATACTCTTACACTTTCTGCTTAGTTCCCTTCCTTTATACTTTTCTCTTCCAGCTTTCCCTTTCGTTGTCCTTACAAGAAAACATATCCAAACTGTACACGCTGAGTTTAATAAAATTTAGGTGAGAGATAGTTCTCAAAAGAATATTTGATACGTATTTGTTACATTTTTCATTTTCCCATTTTCTCCTGTCATTTATTTCAACCTTTTTACTGATCGTTTCCCTTTTTTTGTCCTATGGCTCCCTATATATAGATATTCCTATTTTTGTTTCCTCGTCATCAGGTTGCCTCTTGACAACTAATTTCACTTTTCCTTTCGCTTAATTTCCTTCTTGATCTACGCTTTTCTTTCATCCTTGTTACCCTTTACTTATCCCGTACATTTCCAGGATAATCTTCTTTTCTTTCCTTCCCCCTTCTCGTCATCTAATAACTAAATTCTTATTTCCAAGATTCTCTTATACTCCCTCCGCCCTTCCAACACGGTGTAGCCTTCACTCTCGTCGGAGTATCTAACCGCAAAAGCTATTTGAAAATTTGTTTGAAATATTAACACTTGAGAAAATGATGATTTAGATTAGGACAGGGCTATTTTTTATGTCATTGCCAAGCGGAGAGCCGTTTACGGCTCAGAGCGAGTGTGCCATTTAATTGCCATTTAATTGCCATTCAATTAACGCTTAAAAAGATAATAGTGATCTATGTAGTCTACATATAAAATGACGAAGTATTTAATTTTTTTCATAAATTGATTAGTATCGACTTTTTCACACATTAAACAAGCTGGTGTGATGTCGATACAAAAAATAGCTCAATCCTAGTCTAATTTATAAAAACTTTTGTGTATATTATTTGTGTAGATATTTTGTGTAGACCATTTGTTAGCTGACAGATATCAATGATTCGTGCAACCTGATCCACGCAGAAGTGAATGGGAAGACTGTGTTAGTATTTACTTTACGGATGACAATACATCAGTAGCAATTGTTTTTTTTTAATATCTGGGAAACTAGAGTCGACCGCCAATTTTTGCCAAGGAAAAGGCTGTCCGAAGTAACGTTCTTTACAACGTATTCTGAGTCCATCAAAATCGGCGAGGAAATAGTAATACGACAATTATACCCAAGAGGTAGAAAAAAGGAGAAGAAAGGAGTGAAGTATGTAGATTACTTTAGAATCAAAGTAAGCGATAGAATTTCGATAAACTCCAAAATCGATCTAAACAAAATTTTAAAAGAGGAAGGTGGTGGTGTGGTGGTAGTGCTAGATCTTAAATATTAAATTTCAACTTGGAATATTTATTAGTATCTCAGATATTAATAAAAAAAATGTTTAATATCGATCATTGTATTCTATCAACGTAAGAATG